TAGCAACAACACAAACAAGGTGAATTATGGTCCCCAATATGGTGTCACCACAGAGGCATATTTAAATATAATTGTGAGAGTAACTACAGTAAACAACATGAACAAAGCACATACGTCAATTTGTCCTCGACACCAAACGCATAGTTCACGTCACGTCCGGTAAAATAAGTCATGTGACTCGTCAAAATGGCGCCGCCCACAGGGTTGATGTTATTTCGGTAATTAATCAGCTTAAAATCACTGATAACGTCATCGGATTCAAAAAAAAAAAAAAAGACTGGCAGAGAGTGGTCTGTTTTATCGGATGATAAAAAAAATTAAATGCGTGTCATGAGGATTCCCTCCCTTTAACAAATTATTCTTGACCACTTATGAGTAATGTGTGTTTCAATATATTTCAGGGTACAGATGTTAATGGCAAGCGAACAGCAGTCCTCCGAGGCCTTCCTGTCATCCTGGGTGATGAAAACAATGACTTCTTCAAGACTTGCTTTGTAAGTAGTCTTTTTTCATCATTATTTAAATTCTACGCCACAGGACGCCCAATCTATTTTATCCTGTCCCTTGTGTTACATAAATATATTTTAGCTTTTGTTATGATACTGGCCAAAAGGGGGCCTTCAGCAGGCCAAGGTAAACTCTGCATTTAAAATGTTATTGTGGTTGTAATTTTACTATTGCCTATGTTATAGGATGTTGATGACCCAGACATCTCCAACAGCTCCATCGGGATCCTTACAGTCATCCCTGAAGACAGCCTGGCTTCACCTGACTCACTCCACCTTGCACCGTCAGCAATCGCCATCATATTGGAAGGGAAAATGGTGATGGACGGCATCAATTCTCTCCCAGATGCCATATGCCTACTTTTTGGACTCATCTACGCCCTCAATTTGCAATACCCTCAACAACTTAAGAACACTTTTGAATGTATTCAAAGGGTGATGCTCTCACTTGGCCATAAGTCCCTTAAACCAAAACTAAAATCACTCAAAAATGCCCTGATGCAGTGAGTCAGAGCACCTCCCACTGGGACCTTTTTCTCTTTTGGAAAAGTGATTTTTCTTTGTTATTATTATTATTTTTCAAAGGCCGCGTTGCAAGAAGGAGATTTTTTTTGTATAAATGTATACATTTTTCTGATGGAAGCACAGAAGTCAGCCTAAAAAATGCCCTGATGCGGTGAGTCAGAGCCCCTCCCACTGCATGGCAAGCCGATTTAGCTTTTATTCATTTCTGAAGGATATCAAAAAATCAATTCTTACTAGTAATAATGTTTATTTCTGATATCAAAAATTGAATTTTAACTAGTTAGAAAGAGAATTCTTGATATCAGAAATTAAATTGTAACTAGTTGTAATGTGTATTCTTGATATCAGAAATGCGATTTTAACTAGTGAGATTTGCTTCGTTTTTCTCATTCATTTCAATGGGAGTCGGAATTTGAACTAGTTCAAAATCCTTTTTGATATCAGGAATTCAATTGTTACTAGCTATAATTCAATTTCTATTTATAACTAGTTACAATTGAATTCCTGATATAAAAAAAACGATTTTGAACTAGTTCAAAGTGTATTTTTGATATCAACAATTGGCATTTCGACTAGTTCAAATTGAATTCTTGATATCAGAAATTGGTATTTTTACTAGTTCAAATGTAATTGTAACTAGTAACAATTGAATTCCTGATATCAGAAATTGGGATTTGAACTATAGTTCAAATTCCAACTCCCATTGAAATGAATGAGAAAAACGAAGCAAATCTCACTAGTTAAAATCGCATTTCTGATATCAAGAATACACATTATAGTTACAATTTAATTTCTGATATCAAGAATTCGCTTTGCCTTCAAAGGCCGCGTTGTAGTACACACAGAGGCACTCTGTTTGTATACATTTTTGTATAAATGTGTACATTTTTCTGATGAAAGCACAGAAATCAGCCTCTCAAAATATGTTTGTTAACAAAACAAATAAAATGTGAATATCATTACCATTGAAATGTCTTGTTTGTTACAACAGCTTAACATTTTAAGTTCAGCTTACTTGAAAATGTTGAGTTAATCGGTTTCCTGATATTACCCTAGTAAAGTGAACTGCTTTGACAAGTAATGTTCACTTTTTATTATGAGTTGTGCTAATTCAACATAACTCAGATATTTAAGTTGTCTAAACCAACTTTTTATAGTCATCGTAATGAATGATCTTGAGTTGGGTCTACTCAAGTTTACTGTAATGATATAAGTTGCCTGAACTCAGTACTTTTAAGTTGAAACAACTTAAAATGGATGATTAACTTTACTTGGAAATGTTGAGGCAATCGGTTTCCTGAAGTTTTCTAAGTAAAGTCAACTTACTACGATTTACAGTGACCTGCATCAGCTACACTAATAGCAATGCTGCTTAACAATAATGCACTTATATCATTATAAATGCGCAGATCACTGCCCTGGTACAAACTCATCTACCGCTATGCTTGGACTGCTGCCCCTCTACATATCCACATCACACAAACAGTACAGCTATAGACTATGATCTCAAAATTACATCACTCTGTCCGTCCCCTCAGTACGCACGGAGCTCGGGAAAAAAGCCATATCATACTCTGCCCCTTCGACCTGGAACACACTTCAGCAGGAACTTAAGCTGACCAGTTTGATACCCATCACAGATTTTAAACTAATTTTTAAAAAGCTGGAGAAATCTTCTGTGGGAGTTTGCACCTGCAATGTCTGACTATTGTATATGGATTTCAATGACTACTTTTTACGATGTTTTATTTTATTTTAGTGTTGCCTCTGTGTTTAGTGTCCTGTCTGTCTGTAACTTTGTGTGGTAATGTTACCACTAAACAGGTCTCTCTTGAAAATGAGACCTTGTGTCTCAATGAGATTTTACACCTGTATAAATAAAGGCTAAATAAAAAAACGATGCAATGAATTCATAATTTATAACATCAGTTATCTAACGTTTACATCATGTTATGTCTGCAAACTGTCAAGGATGGGCTTGGTTTTATTTTTGATGGAAGTATATTTGGCTGATAAACAACTTGTAAACATTTAATTTTAGGTACATGTACCTTTAGAATACTTCTTCCGATTATGGGTGACTCAGTAAGTGTAAGTCTACGAATGAAGCATATAATCAGTGAAAATCTGATATTCTCAAACACTTGTTGCTTCTTTCTTCCAAAACGTGAGCGAGTCAACAGTGGCCTCGTCATTATTCCAAAATGGACTTGTCCCGCCTCCACGGCCCCCTGATTGGCTGTGTGTTTGCCTGAGCAGTGGGCTGATGGCTGGCTTAATGAATATGTATATCACCAGTCCTGCTCGGTCAGGCCTCACCCTGCCTGTCATCGGAACAGAATGTGCGATGTGGTGATGTCATTTGTTTCACCGGAAATCCAAGCACATATTCTCACAGAAGAGCACATTAAGTTTTGTGATAACACTGGGTTGAATTGACAACTGTTGTGTAATTACGCGCGATAAAGAGTACAGCTTTGTATTCGTGTCTGTAGCTGTGCATGTTGTTGAGTTGGTTTCACCCCCCCCCCTAACTGTCAATTTAAAGCCACTCCCCTTCCTGACAGAAATGACAAGCCTCTCTGTTGTGTGCTACTTCAGGTCATTTAGCTCTGGTTTCAACTGCATACAAACTTGACAAACAGGTTGTGCGACCGCCTCTAAAACCGGAAACCTTTCCTATATAAACGCACACCTTTCTCTTCACAAGACAGAAACTACGAAAAGAGCTCAAACACTGAACATAGGGGAAAACTCAACTCGCCTGATTTACACGACAGCCAATCCCCGCAGAAGAATTACAGCCAAGCAGACGTTACTCTAAGCCGATCAGCCCGGAAATAAAGACACAGAGGAGAAACAAATAAGTAACTGATCTTCCACAAGAAAAAAACTCGCCACTATGATGATGCAGCAAGAATCCCCGTCGCAGAAGAACTCCCTGTTCAACGCCATGAACAGATTCATCGGCGCCGTGAACAACATGGACCAGACGGTCATGTTGCCCAGCATGCTCATGGACGTCCCGCTGGAGCTGGAGGAGGACAGGGAGATGACGAACTCCATTAAATCGGATGAGGACGAGGGGGACATGTACAGCTACTACGAGCTGCTCAAGTCCATCCGCAGGGACATCCAGGTGGGGGTGAGGCGTGCAGAGGCCGATGAGAGGCACAAGGAGAGCATGGTGATCAGCCGCAAGAACTCCTCCGCGTCCATCTCTTCCGCATCATCACTATCATCATTTTCTTCCGAGGAGGAAGAGGAGGAAGACGAGGATCTGCAGAAGCAGTTCCAGTTCCACCTGACCGGGCTGCAAGGGGTCCTGTCCAAGCTCACCGTGCAGGCTGACTCTCTCACCAAGCGATACAAGAAGGAGATCGGTATGTGCCACTAAGCTCGGAACCACAGAAACTTAAAAAAAGAAAGAAAACAGAATTAGTTCTATTGGACTGGCTGAACTGACTTTTCTCAATTGGGTCTCTTTGCTGCTGCTGTCACTACTGATGAAATTTATGAACAATCATTTGAATGGTAGAGAAAGAAAGACAGCTTATTTCTCTTTCTACTCTGTGGTATTATTGACTGTAGATGTGTTGAACCTGATGAAAGCATGTGTGTACTTAACACCAAACGAATATGTTTTGCACTCCAAAGTTTTGAACACATATTGCATTCAGCACCTGTGATGCATATATGAAACATATTTAAAACCTTTTTATTTAATGTAATGTATTTTTTTATTACCTCACTCTGTATAGTTTGAGAGCCAAATGTTATTTCAAAGTTGGAGGAGAGGTGGACTGCATGAACTACAGGACCTGTTGTCTGAACCGCCCCTCTATGGGGGGGGGATACTGACGAAAGATCCAGCTTCCTGTTTGTGCTGCTGAGGATGTCAGTGTGTTCAGATGTATGCGTCTCTGTATGATTAGTTCTCCTTCAAATCTGATGTGTCTGTGACTTTAAATTATGCCTGCATGGAAGGAGGCAGATGCTCACTGTAGCTGTTGCCTGTGATCTCCTAATGCCCTACATGGCCATTGAACCAGCATCAAGTGATAATGCCTCTGCATGGAGCATAATGAGGGTTTCCACAAGATGTATTGTTTTTATTGTCATGTATTTGCTATTGTTATTATTATGGTATTATTGGACCATGTCCATCTGTCAAAATAAGCAAGTGCTTTTGTATGCACCTTCTGCACCATTTTTGTACTTATTTGTTTCTGAAAATAAACTTTGATATGAACTTACTTCACTTGTTTCGTATTGTTTTTCTTAAACATTCTGTCATGAGCAAAAATTACATCACAAAAACTGAATTTGGCTAATACAAAAACAAATAGACCAACAACAAATGATCCATTAGTATATGGGTTACCCGACACGCTAGCTTTGTGCTTTATAAAACATACATGTTGTTAAACAAAACATTGAAATCAGAATACCTTTATTCTTTCCACAGAGGGGAAATGTACATTTTTACAGCAAAAGTGATATAGAGACTAAGAATAAAACACTATAAGAAAGGGCATGCACATACTATTTAAAATTAAAGCATATATATTTAAATGTTCAAGTAACATCCGTAAAATAATTCCAATTTACATATTGCACAGCAGTGGTGTTGTAGTCTCTATTATTTGTGTGAGGGTCTGTGCAATATGTTTTTCTTCAGAACCAAGGAGGTTTTATTTTATACATTTGAAAGGACTACAATATGCAGTACAAACTTACTTGGAACATTATTTAAACATTGAATAATAAAGGCAGACGCAGTATTGTCTGCATCTCTTCTTGGGAGTGTCTTCAGTTATGTTCTCTTTGGTTACGAAAACAGGTTTAATTAAACACAGAGTTATTTTGGCACAGATTTCCATTCAAATAGCATGCACACACTGCAAAGAATAACTTTCAACTGCTGTCTTACTTGTAAATTCTGTTCAATTCTTTAATTTATGTCAAGAAAAGAAAGAAACAACATCATTTGCACTCTTTGTAACACAGTGTCCCCTCAGAGGTGGATTCACTGTTACCTGTTGGTTAAAGAATGTTGTCAGTCATAAAGCTTCAAGTGACAAACCTTGAAACATCTGAACTCTCAGTGAAGAGCCAGAGGAGGGAATGCTGTTTTGTTCCATATTATAACCTATAAAAGGGCCAATTTGAATGCATCTAAAAGTAGTTATTTCAATTTGTTTGTGTCAAAAGGGAATATTTCCAGAATACGGTGCATCAGATGTATTGTAGAACAAAATAGAATAAACATCAAACGTACAGCACAGTAGGCAGGCAGTGGGTACAATTAGAAGTATGCACTGAAATCAGTCAATTTGCTTTTTACCCTTATATTTATATTTTTGAACAGGTCTTGTTTTAAGTAAAAAACCTGCCGGTTTGAAATAATAAACAACACATCTCCCTCATTGTTGTTAGAGTAACTGTCATGAACAGCCTCAAAGGCCAAGAGGAAAATGGGTGCAGCTTGGGTTTCAGTGTCACATTAGCTCAATTAGTGCAACACACCCACTTTTCACTTTCATTCTTTCACACCCACAGACATTGCATAAAACCCAAACAAAACAATGAGAGCAATTGCAAAAATGTCCTAAAGATAATGTTCAATTGGCTTTATTCAGTGGAAAGACAAAACCAGATGAAACAGAAAGTCACTTTAATAGTCCTCAACAAGCAAGCAATAGTGGACACAAAACGGCATGGAGAATAGTTGACATTAAACCAAAGACTTCAAGGGAGCAACTACTCAAACATCTTTAAAGAGAAACAGCCAGACATGTTTTAATTTTTCGCTGGTTCAAAGCGTTTACAGGAAATGCTGCCACTCCTGTCGGCATTCTGAAGAATCGGGAAAAAGTTAACATGCCTTTTTGTTTTTCACTGAATGTCAACATTATCAATAACCTAAAAGTGAATGCCAGAGGCTATCACTGAATAGCAGTACTTTTACAGTCTCAAAACACTTGTGAGCAGGAGGACAGAAAACTTCTTCCTGGGGCCTTTTGATAGTGTTTCTGATAATGAGATCCAAATTAATTTGTGAACAAAAAGGGATATTAGCAGTGCACAAACAGCAGGGTTTGAAAGGAAAGTTTGCTGATATCAGTGGGGGGGAAAAAACTATATATTTACTTAAAAAGTAGAAAAGTATGACAAGTTAAGATCAACCATGCATAATAGACGTAATAGTACGAGTAGGTAAATATAGGAAATGATAAGCAATAAATAAGGGTAGTATTAAGCATTGAAGCAGGAAAGTACTATTAAGTAGTCAAAAGTATTACGGGTGCAATGACCTATGAAAAGCATTTACTGTTAATTTAAAGCTGTGTGAAGCTTTTAAGTTTGAGCACCTTATTACTGTTGGGTAGTTTAATGATGCATCATATTGTATAGGCTCTACTTGTGTTTTGTATTACAAATAATAACCGTCCCATGTGTCTGACTTGAAAAAAGTACATATCCTTGTTAGTAATGTTGTTAAGTAAAAGTAAAAGTATGAAATGACATGATCAGTTTCACTGCTGACTGATGTGTTGAAACCACCTAAAAAACCCTACAAACATGGGAGGGGATTTCTCCAAACCTAAAGGGTTGATTATTTCATGGTTATTTCTGATAAAGTGAAGATAAACAAAATTAATTAAGAAGTACAACGAATAAAGGCAGAGTTTTAATGTTAAAGTCAAACTCACGATTGTCCCTCTGACGAGATAAATAAAACGCTGGCTCTCCCCTTTTTGTCCCTTTGCACGCACCGTAGAAACCGGAAGTGCAAGAAAAGGCGACAGCAAAACATCAACAAATTGAACCGAATTAATAAAAAAATAAACCATTGTGACTAAAAATGGACAGTCAAAACTCAAAGTCTACGAGTAACGATTCACGCTGCGTGTTTTTTAATACAGATTCAGAAGACTATCGATGCGTAAGTAGCTAACGTAACTGTAAATCAATGTTCGCCTTTTTTGTTGCTAATTAGCTCGTTAGCAACATAACGGTTACTTTTAACTCACTATGGGTTGGTAATTATTAACTCCAACTGATGTATTTATTTATTAATCGATTAATACATTGATGCATGGATGCCTGACACCTGCATGGTTCCTAGTGTTCAACAGTAACCGTGTAACTATGCTTTCAGTCATCTAGCATGCTAGCTAACTTCATTAACTGGTTGATTATTACCATTAAAGTGCATCTAATTTAAACGAGCTAATCCCCGCTTGCTACTGAAGAGCTAATATAACTCAAGCTAACAAGCTACCTTAAGCTAACCTAGCTGAGCATTACCAGCTTTATGTATTTTAAGATGATGTTTCTCATACGTTATGAAAGCTTGTTTACCCACATTGTTCTATAAATGAGACATGCAGGCGGAAAGAGTATGTTTGTTATGTTTAGAAAAGAAATGATAAGCATCGTCTTATCTTACAATGATAACATGTGAACCTGTTTTGCCAGCTGAATGGGATAAAAGTAGCAACACTAACAACAACATCAGAGACAGAGAGTGCCTAAGAATTTATTTCCTGAATAACAACTCTGAAGGGCTCGTATTTTAAGGGAATATTTCAGTTTTACTCTACGCTATTTTATACCTTCACTCCAATACATGTTTACAGTGTTGTTGTAAGGTAACTAAGTACATTTACTCAAGTACTGTACTTAAGTACACTTTTGAGGGACTTGTATTCAGTATTTCAATGTTTTGCTACTTTGTATACTTCCAATTCCAATTCAGAGGTAAATTGTGTACTTTTACTCCAGTACATTTATTTAATATCTTTAGGTAGTTTGCAGATTTGGATTGATAATGTGAAGTATAAACCTCACTTAAATCTACCATGCCATACAAGCTACCATGAAGTATACAAAGTAATTAAAACTAGCTGCACCGTTACCAGCTTTGATAACACTGAATAGTAATGCATGAACAATTATAATCAAAACATATAATATAGTATTCTGGAATGTGCCAATTTGCATAATGCGTTCTTTTATTTGTGGTATTTTAAGTATATTTTGATGCTAATACTTTAGTACTTTTACTTGAGTTACATTTTAAATGCAGGAATTTTACTTGTAACAGAGTATTCCTACACTCTGGTATGTTTAATTTGTATTAAGTACAAGATCTGAGTACTTCTTCCACATCTGGGAAATGCTGTACTGTTTCCTCCACTACATTTAGTGAACAGCTAAAGTTACACGTTTATTTTTGAAGACTCATAGGGAACACTGTATAATTTAGCTCAGCTACATTTAGGTTAGTGATTTGAATTGTATGCAAGTTGAAAATAAGAAATAGGCCTATTAATATGCTGCATACATGCTTAATCAACATAGTGTAATCCGAATCAAGATCACGTACCATAGACTTAATAATACCTCAAAGTAAAGTCTCAAGCACAAAAACGGCATCACAACCTTCACAAACATAGATTCAAATGATATTGCATACAATTATACAGGTGGTAGTGGTATTGACTCCACAACCTGCAGATGTATGTAGATGATAACAAACCAGTCAATAGATCTTGTATTCAGAATAACTTTGTCAGGAGATAACCGTCTGAATCAAGACTGAACTAGTATTGCGTGCAGTGAGCTTGTGAAAAGGTGTAGTTGTAACTTTGCATGCAAGCAGCTTAAGGCTCCAGGTTTTGATCCACACTTAACTAAGAATGCTGCAATAATGCTGTCCTGCCTTGAGGAGCCCAGTTATCTATTTTCTCGCCAAGCATTATCTTGTAATTGCAAGACATTGATCATACGGTCCCTTAAGCTGTCTGAATAACCCAGATACAGATGACCCACATTGACCAAGCTGGCTGTACCAGTTTGAGTTTCGTGTCACTGTTCAAAACGAAAACTATCCATACATTCCTCATAATTTCATCAGTATTCATGCAGTCGAGTTTTTTTTGTTTTCTGTAGCATCCCTTTTTCTTTGTGAGTTGAACAACAGAATGTCACAGATGTAGGTAATGATTCAGTTTTGTTTTGCTCCGAGAGGGAAGTATGTAATGTTCATAAATATAGACTGTCCAAGATAAATAATAATATATACTTTTGTTCTGGGATTTGATCTTGCGGCTTTGAAGTGGGCTCAATGTCAATGATTGAGTGTGTCTCAATGGGTTCTGTGATAGCAGTAGCAGGTAGTTTGTTTACCTGTTGTGTTTAAAGTTACCATGTTAGTTCTACTACTTAGCCTAAACCAGATAGCTGATTAATACACAACCTATGAAAAAAGTGGGGAAAAAATATTTTTACAATATATTGATAATTGTCTAATGAAATCCAAGTGCAACAAGCAATGACACAGATGCTTGCACAACTATTATCAGAAGGAAATTCCACAAGTTTACATAAAGCAAGATCTTTCATTTAATTTTCTATAAAATAATTGTTGTAGGCTTTTTATCACTACTTGAAAGCCATCATTTAAATATAATTAAAACAGTAATAACACTGTAGAAAGCATCAGAAAAACAAATCCTCCTATACTAGTGTAATCAGAAATCTACTGCAAAGAAAAGTTTAAATACAACTTGACAGTCACTTCTATGAATGAAATAAATCAATCATGTCATTTGTATAGATATCTCTGTTTTCTTTACATTGCAGGTTTTAGACTGATGGAAGTTAGTGGTCTGTTGTCGTTGCTCAGAGGACACGTTTAGTACATTGTGTGCTGAGGGCCACGGCAGAAGTGTTGCACAGCTCAGTGTTGACATGTCTTACTGTACAACTACAACGGGTCCCTTTCATTTCCCCTGAAGCTTCTTGAACCGACTCACACATTTCTCATTCTTTTCATTCCTCCGCTCTTCTTCCTCTTCCCTCTCTTGTTGCTCTCAGATCAGCTTCAGCTTGGCTGTTGCTTTGCACAAACTATGTAGAGTATCAGGTTCTAGGTTGTCATTTCTCTCAGCTGTCATTTAACAGCACTCAAAGGCCTTCCGAAAGCGTCGTGCTTGTGGAGGTCGTAAACACCTTTTACATGTCTTAAAGTTGTCAGAAGTAGAGTGGAAAATATTCGCAATTCTGTTACAACTGTTGCCTGAAGTAGATGCAAACTCCATTTTGTTGCACTAACTTTAATTACACACATGCTTGCAAACAAACACAACAGACATGCTTGAACAAATAGCAGCCTTGTCAACCCAGTAATTTCTGAGCCTATGATTATAATCATGGCGGCGCTGTGTTTATCTTGCACTCCTCAGGAAGTTTGCACAGTGCTTTGAAAAATATTACACAGAGAAAATATTACGATACACTTTGATAAACGGATTCTTTCTTATTAATGCACTTATAATGAATTGTTTCTCATTTACAGGTGGTGATTTTAACAGTGAAACGAGCCACAGGAACCTTCTCCTTAGTAGGATGGTAAATATTTCTTCAACTTATTGAACTTTCATGTATCTTTTTTTACATCTGATATGTTGGCAGGGTTTTTTTTAATAATGATTTGGTCCCTGTGGATTTAAATGATGTCAAACTAGCTTTGCAAAGGTTTTATTCGTGCAGGGTAAACACTTTGTTAGACACACTAATTGTGAACATTACTTTGTTTGTTTCCAAAAAATAAACTGCAGGTTTTTTTTTTTTACTTGTGCAAACAGTAACCACTTCTGTCACCCTGTAATAAATCTCATCTTTGTAAAGCTTGTAATAATCAGCTTCTCTTGAGGCTTTGTCTAAGTTGTTTCGATTCACTCTGTGTAATTTGCAGTGTTGTTGTACTGGCTACACCCTCTGTCAAACATGTATGGGCCAAGGAAGTAAAAGTTATTAAAGTCTATTATAAAGTGGTGTGCATAACTGCATGCAATATTTGCTTGTAAAATATAGTTTTTTAAATGAGACTGAAAGATTTCTATTTAAACTTTTCCAAATCCCAGGGCACTATGGAATTACAAATGACTTGTAGCGAATACTTTTTAGAAACAAACAAGGGAAATGACTACATTGGGACACGTTTCTCCTATGGTCAAAAAGGACATTTATAATTTCACAGATGTCATAAGAGTTATTTCCCATTTACTTCAATAGACAGTTGTATTTTGCAGGCGGCTTTCAGTGGCATTTTGATGAACTGCATCTTAACATTTTGGCTTCAGCATTTCGCTTTTTGGCCGGGGAAATCATTCCTTCAAATGCTGCTGAGCAGGTCTCTGGCAGGTTTTCTGCAGCTCTCATTAGTTTCAGTCTAAAATGTCTTTAATGGCCAGTAATCGTACACTAAGCTAAATAAAATCACCAGATTAACGTTTGCTACAGAACCTGCAGGGATTTAGAGTTTAAGTTGTTATGATGTGGGCCTATATGAGTTCAGTAAGCTGGTATATCATTGTTACAACACCAAATGATTTGCCCCGTTTGCTTTCAGTTAGCAATAATCTCTCTCCTTTCTTATCTCCGCAGTATTTTCATGCTCCTTGTGATCTGGCTACTTCGCAGATATCACTCTTTGGCTCAGGTACATTTCCACTCCACTAGAGTATGCTTTGACACTCTCTTTTCCCCTCATTTTCTATTTGCTTCATTGCCACCGGAAATATGTTCAATTAGCCATGGCAAATCTTGGCATAATTGAACCCAATTAAAATGCACAGATTAATTAATTGCGCAGTTAATTGACTCATGGTTGTGCTGTGATAATGACGGCTTTCTTTCCCCTTTAGGTCACACAACAGACTGAATAATATGAGTGTAGAGTGTGCTTTTCCCTCCACATGTTTTCTTGTATCCACAATTCAAAAGTCTAAAGCAGATCAGTGTTTGAGTTTGCAGCCTGCTGCTTGGTGTTTTTAAAGGCAGTCCGGCTGGTCTCTCAGGTTTTGCAGCACTTCACGTTCTCCTCCTAATCTGAAGTAAATGACAGTTTAGCATGAGGCTCTGATACCTCCTCACTAGGTCGCTCAGAGTCACCTCTTCCAGCTCCCCTAACAACACACACTGTCCTCACCTCCATCCCCTCACAAAGGTTACCTGTCAGTCATAAACTTTAATGCTCTTTCTTTAGGGCTTTTTCTGTCTCTCACTCCTCTTCCTCTGTAGCATTGGACTTCAAATCCCACTGTACTTTTTACATTTATATTCAATCTATTATTTCATATTCCATTCCTCACATGTATATGTAATATCCTGCTTTATATTTTGTTACTGTACATTTGTAATTCAACATGTCTATTTTTCAACTTTTTAATGCTATTTTATTTCTATTGAGATGTTTACATTTTGGAATGTTTATTCCAATGTTTATTTCTATTTGTACAATACCATTTCTTTTTATGCTGCTGCAACGCAAACATTTCCCAAATTGGGATCTATAAAGTACTTCTTATCTTATCTTATCTTATTGGCAGAGTGATTGCTGGACACAAACTAGGGCTGGGTGTATGTACAGTATGTGTTGCCATTTTTCTAACCACCTCTTAAAAGAGCTATCTTCTTAAACTATTGTATGGCACAGATTATTGGATTATATCAAATCAAATAATTTAGTTAATATAGAAGAAGTTAAGCAGTCTTTTTCCTCCATCCTGTGATATTTTCACAGCGTTGTCGCCAGAGACGCCAAGCTGTCAGACGCATCAGTGCTCATTTGATGTATAATTTCTCTCTACGTAAATGTAAATGTACTGCCATATTAAGTCGGGATGTTTTGTTAGAGAATCCCGCTTCAAGTCTTCCTCTCATTTTCCCTGTACAGAAGATGATCCTCAGCCTGACTGTAGCTGCCTTCTTCGATAGCGTAGCATATGTCATGGTGAGTTACGCGAGCTTGCTTCACTAAACACCCACAAAGCAGAGTTTTCTTTGAGCTGAAAATATGTCTCTGTGCTGTTCTTCCTTCTTACCTAGGGTGATTCACATCCAGAGGGATCGCTTTGTGACTTCCAGGCCTGCTGGCTAACTTACTTTGGTAAGACCAAACTTCATTATTTAGTCGCAGGCACACTTTCAACAATAGAGGTTGAGTATGCCAGAAAAAAATTCAACAAAGACATCTGTTGAAGAGCTCGTAAATCACAGTGTGGAATAATATTACTTTGTCATTTCCTCTTTCTTTTCTTTTTTTAGCTTGAGAACAAAATGTGCTTTGACACTGATGCTCCGGCTTATAGCTGCATCTTTCACCCAGAGCTTATTTGAAATGCAACGCAGGGAGTTATTACTGGAGGATTGTCACGGAGGTGATCTCTGGGCCCATAGATCTCGGCCTCCGTTACGGGTTGTGTAGCTTCATTGTATTTGATTGTGTTCACCTGGTGCCCTGTGTTGTCTCCTCCCCCCTCACCTGTGTCTTGTTGGTTGATTAGTCCGTGGGTATTTAGGCTCTGTGTTTCCTGTTTGTGTGGGGGAAATCCTTGTTGCTGGTGACTGTGTTCACATGAGACAGTAAGATTGAGGCTGTGTAACCCACACCGGGTTATATTTGAACTCTCTGCCTCCTTGCTTGGTCACGCCGCTCAACGGTCAGGCTCACAAGGATATACAGGCTAGAAAGTGAGCTTTTGAAAGCGATAAACGTTTTAAATAAGTAATTGTAAAGTCACTACTATCAGAGTACTAAAGCCTTGCCTTGTATATAAAAAACAAAACAAAAAAATCATATTGGTGTCTCCAAATAACCGGACTTCAATGCTTCTTCTTTATGCCTTTTTCATTATTGTATCTAATGAGTCTTACATTGAGTTTATGGTAATTACGTCTCATTGAATGGTTATATTTTTAATTGACATTTTATTAGAGCACCAACGATTAGTTGTCAGTCGGTCGAGAGAAAGATAATCCCGACTATTTTAATAATTGATTAATCATTTAATTCATTTTTAATGAATGTGTTTCCGACTCTGAAGTATGGCAATTTCCAGCTTGTCTCATTTTTATATCATTTCAAACTGTATATATCTTTGGCTGAAAAAACAAGATATACATATAGATCACCTCGGACTTCGAGAAAAATGGGAAAGACATTTTACTCCATTTTTCTGACACTTTATTGACCCAATGACTAATATAGAAAAAACCCTTTAGATCAATCAATAAAACAAATGGTTATTGCTGCCCTATATCTGAAACAGCCTATCCTCTTGTCTTGTTTGACGACAATTTGGCAACTCAAATTGTCCATGCTGTTCCTGTGTTCTCAGGAAAGAGATGGAGAATGTTTACATGCCATTTTGAGATACACCAGTTGTCAAGGGTGGAGGAGTATTCACACACCCATGCCAAGAATACCACGCCCGGAACGATGGTGTAACATGTGGGAGTCAATTGCAGCTATTCAGTACACGCCCTCAAACCAGACGCCTTAGTGTTTCATCATTGATTTTCCTCCAATGAGCACATCATTTGGGTTTGTCAGACACATCTGCAACTTCTCAATGTTGTTGATATTGGTAGGATTTATTGGACTTATGAGGGCAGGATTGTGTTTACCTTGAAAATCTTGGATGCATTTGTTACAATTACAGTTCCTTTAGCCCCAATTAGCATAAGGGTTGTCAGTTAGGACTGGCTGCTAATGCAACTCTCCTCCAGGCCTGTTTTATTGGTCTCACAGGCAGACACACATCACCCTCACACACACTCAGACAGATACAGGGTAATGGGCAGTGAGTTAGTGCTGCAGGGTTGCTGCTTGTCACCTCGCTTTATCACGAGGATCCTCACGCTTAGGACAAACGGCCACACATAAACACCGTCTGAGCGGGCACTTTGTTCTGTTGCGAAAGCCCCGAGTCTAGTGGGAGCCGCATAGCGCAGCTTTGCTTTTAACTCGGACTAATAAAAGGTTATGAAATGTGTTTGAAATGGAGGGAGACGGTAGCCGGGGCAGGTGACGGATCGGAGCTGTACGTTGTCGGGTTTTAAAGCAAAACGCTTCGGCTGTTGTCAGGTTATGTAAGACACGCTGTGACTGTGATTTATTTCGACAATGACATGGACAGCCAGCCTCCTTCTTTCTTAGTCACCGCGCACCATTCCTAAACAGTGCTTGAGTGTACAGAGAGAGAGAATTTTGTATATTTGTGTGGGGGTTTGTAATTGTGCGAAACTGAGTAAGCGGAGTATGCGGCTGAGAGAATCCATCATTGTGACGACCAGCCCTGCCTGTCCTGTCAACAGAGACACACACACACACACACACGCACACGCACACGCACACGCACACGCACACGCACACACACACACACACACACAGAAAAGGGCTGAAAACAAGGGCAAAATACTGAAGTGAGCTTCCTATTCTCTTCCTTGTCTCTGTAAAATAAATTCATTCCTTTCCACTTTGCTGACTCCGTTCCCTTTCCTTATTTATTTTCAGTTTCACTGCACTTGCTCTAGTCCACTCAGTTCGACTCAACCCCCTCCTCACCTCGCTCCTCGCTCTCCTTCTCATTTCTTCCTCTCTCACCCCCAACCCCTGCTTATCTCCCTCTGCTTTTCCACAGTTCATCATTATCTCTTCCCCCCTCTCATCCATCACCCTTAGCCACAGGTTTCCCTCATATTACTGCAGAATGGGCCTTCATTTATCAAAAAGTGGAACACATGCACCCACACACACACGCGCTCATACATACAAGTGTGTTTGGACACACACTTGCAGGTGCAGGCTGTGTGACGAGGGGAGCTGTGTTGTTATTTGACCTTGTTGTTTTTCCGTGTGTGTGTGTGTGTGCGTGTGTGTGTGCGCGCGCAGACTGGAGTGCCTTGGCCTGGGTTTGCCTCATCACAGTGAACCTGTACCTCAACCTGGTCCAAGAAATCAGCACCAACAGATATGAGAAGTGAGTCGGGGACAATTGTTTCCTTTAGTGCTTTGTGGATTGTTTTTTTTCTTGTTTTTTTTTTATTTCAATGTTCTGTCTTTTTTAGAGTCCAACATCTTTGGAAGAAGTCCATTTTAGTATGTGACAAAAAGTAGAAGAATAGTTCTTACTTTAATCTCAGAATTCTGAACAATGACAATTTTTATTAGAATTATTTCTTTACTGAATAGATATTCATTTTTTTTTAATTCTCAGAATTCTGACTTTAATCTCAGGGATCTGACTTTTTCCTCAGAATTCTGAGATTAAAGTCACTACTCAAATTTGTTATATACTTTTGGTCACACCCAAACATGTTTTCTCCTTTAATAGAAAAAATGAAAAATATAGAAAAACAAATATATTTGATTTACTATATTCAATACCAAGAGCTCGAACCAGAATGATGGGCTTTTGAATTACTTCCCAAAATAGTTTCTGATTTATTTTTATTTTTATATCGGCTAATTGATCAGTCAACAAATAATTTAACGTCTTTGTCCATCGTGTATACAATTTCTGTTTCCATGTCCACCACTGTGCCTTCCTTTTTAAATCTAATATTCCCCTCTTGTTTTGCTGTGGCCATTTCCCTCTGCGTGTGTGTTTGTGTATGTGTGTTCATGTGCATGTGTTTGGTCTGCCAGAGCATGTGTCTCCCCACAGAGCATTGACAGCCCCCTCCCTACCTCCCTCCCTCCTCTTCTTTTCTGTTCCAGCCGACGCTCTAATTGAAAAGGGAGTGAGTGTCAGCCGTTAAGTGTGTGTGTGTGTATGTGTGTGTGTTTGAGTGTGTGTGTGTGTGCACCCATCTTCACGCTTTGTGGCTCTATGTTTCTGTCGCTCAAACTCCCATGAGCGCTCTCCGCAGCGTGTGTGTGTGTGTGTGTGTGTGTGTGTGTGTGTGTGTGTGTGTGTGTGTGTGTGTGTGTGTGTGTGTGTGTGTGTGTGAGATGTTCTCATTTTCCATGCCTAGCGAGGATCTTGTGACACATTCTGAAAAATAAAAATGTATGCGCTCTGTGGCGGGGGGGTAAAGCTTCAGCAAGTTAGCGGCAACTCACTTCTGGGAGTCGATTGTAGATGTGTGTGTGCGTACACCCCTCCTACCCATCTGTGTGTGAGGAGTTGGGCTGGTAAAAAGACGT